GGAAAGAGTAAAGTAAGTGATGAATTATCATCCTCTGAAATCTAGAATGACAGGGAACTGGAAATATACGCACTGAAGAAATCGTGCCTAGAATAGTGCATCTATGAAAAAAATTGGTGCTAGATCAAGTGGAATTACAGGAGCTGATGATGCAAAATTCCTCTCTCAAATACCCCAATAGCAATGAAGCTCATTATAGATCTAGTGAATTTTATATTCTCTGGTAGATCTGTTCACTGTCGGTCTTTGTTAGAAAGACACATAGCTATTGTACTATCCACCCACGGAGAGTATGACCTATGTCAACTATGAGAACCTTGGTGTCAAAGGAACCAAACCATCATACTAAAGTTGTAAAGGCAGCTGCAGGAAGCCAACCTTGCAAGCATTCCACTTCAGTTCTTGTTAATATAAGTGAACTGAAAACGTAATGGGCACTAACATACCCAAAGAAACAAATTTTTTGTATATGAATACTAGAGTGCAATCTGTAGACAACATCTTAAGACAGAATATATACTCTGAACTCCTAAGGTTATGTCTACCCACTGAACTTTAAAAGAGCTTAGAAACTTTTATTTCCTGTGTATCTGAAGCAAGGAATTCTAAAGAGTTAATTTATACAGCACTTGTGTTCATTTATACAGAAAGGCAAATATGCCCTATTTGACCTATGCCTCAATCCACCAAAGAACAGTCTAAAAAAGACAGCCTCTACATTTTGTATTGTCACAAAGAATTAAAAGATCTGACTCAGTGTATTTAATAGATTAAGATGGCGCTCCACGTTAGTAAGAATGTAAAGGAAATACTAATACATTAATAAAAGAAATCTATGAAGACTTCTTTTTTAAACATATTGCATTCCTCCAGATCACTGAAGCTTTTTGCTTATGAAATTGGTAATCTGAATCTATAATTTTAAAAGTACTGCAGTGGCTGGTATTCTTTAATCAGTGCTTGATTTCCGCAAAATTGTATTTTGGCTTACATTACCTAGATTATTATTTGTATCATAACCCCTTCCATATGATTTTCTTACAACAGTCATGAAAGGATGCTAAATAAGATAATGATTTAGGCCATTTAATAGTGATCAAATGAATCATGCTGATTGGTTAGAGATTTTATGATTTTTAAAAGATAAATAAAAAGAGTAACACTGAATACAAATTTTAAAGAAAAAATATAGAATATTATGTCAAAAAAGCCACTAGTAGATGACTGGAAGGGCTAAACATGAATACATTATTTTTTCATAATTTTCCTGAAGTTTGCATGAATATTCATGTTATTCTGCTTTACTTTTTCACCGTATCTAATAAAGCCAATCTGTAGTTACTTTTTATACATACCCCTTTTAATGGTACTTTGAATGCAATAAATCTAGTCCCTGGTATAGGCTGTCCAACTGGTGTCAAACTCCGCCATCTGTAATAAAACAAATATTTATTTTTAAATATTTTCAAATGACATGATTCAACAGAAGACACCAGCAGCTTCATGTAAAACTTCTTAAAAAAAATACTGATTCTTAGGATTAAAACTTTGGTAAAACAAAGCACATAAAAATTATGCTCCTTTAAAATGATAATAACAGTTATGTCAAACTATGTGAAGTATCCTTCAAATACCAGGCAAATCTGGTGCCATATTTCACATAGTTTGAATAGAATAGTTATTTCAAACTTCTCCAAGCAGAAAGATATGATAGTTATCTTTTTTCTATGGTGGACCATACAGCTACTAGCACAATACATTAAGATTTAGATTTCCAAACAGCAGGATCCAATACTTCCTAAAATTCCTTAACCACATAAGCAGGCAATCATAACAGATGTGCATGAGTTTGAAAAAATGACCAAAAAAATCCTGCTATGTAAGTAAAATCTTTTTTAAAATCCATCTTCCATTAGTAACCTGCCCGTTTCACCAAGAAACTAAGATCTTTTTAGATTAATTATAAGAAATGGTTATTACATATTTGAATAAAATTAATAAATTGATTAGTATTATTTTGGGATAAAAGAAAAGGGGGTTGCCTAAAAGATGCTGGAAGAATACCAACAGAATATTGCTACAAATATGATCAGGGCACAAGCTTATTTAGCATACTACACAGCTTTAATAAAGACGTTTTTATTGTTTGCAAGTCTAAAGACAGTAGCCATAATAAAATGAATCTTTATTCTCTGTAGAGCACCACCACAAAGAAAATACTTCTTAGCGATAATGCGCACAATTGCCGTTATCATACAGTAGAATTATGTCCCAAAATCTGCAATTATTCCATGAGTGGTTTCAAGATATCGTCAGGACATTTGAAAACAGTCTTTCTCCTTCCTCCTTCTTCAACTTCCAAAAAATTCCTCCCCTCAAAATGGTAGGACAGCATTTACAAACAAGTAGCACCAATATAAAGCAAAGCAGGTGGGTAAGGTTCAACAAGTTAAAAAGGATTGTTTATTACAGTTGGTGGAAATTTTTCAACTTGGCTGAATCTAACAGTTTAAAAAGTTATCACATGCTTGCATCAATCATTTAATTCACAATGAAATGCAAAGTTTACTTTCATTAAAAATACAAAGCTTCTAGATTTTGCAAATGTATTTACTTTGTAGTATGCTGCTTTTTCAAAGAAACATTCTTAACTGCACTTTCTCTTGGTACTTTGAAAAATACAGAGAATATTCAATCACACCAAAACTTGGCAAAAATCACCTAGTAATATGAAGACTTGTTACAATACTCAAAATACTAGCAACTCCAAAACCACAAAGAATTGGTATTCACAAACTCTACATTGCACTGAAAAAACTCTTGATGTATCACATTTCAGAGATTTGAATTTTTTTAATAAACTATGAAAAGCTTTACCTGAAGAGAAAAACAAGTTAATGAGCAGATCAATTTTACCTTCAAAGAGGTAACTTACTAAATTTAGGACTTTTGTGTCTTCTCCTCCTGTGAGGACAAATTATGAGCTCAGAAAATGCAGCTGGATGACCTAAAAATCTACGTGGCCTTTTTGCATTTTTAGCTTGTACCTCAACTATTAAAATACAAAACGTTTTCATAAGACTCTTTAACACTGGTGCCCATTCACTTACAATTTTCTGAATTAATGTTTAAATTAATCTCCTTTTAAAGGGGACATCCAACAGCTTCTAAATTCCTTTCTGATTTCCATAAAACCACATCATTTATGAAATAAACTGAATACTCTATTTTAAAATATTCTAACCACTTTTGCTTTGTTCACAAGTCCCATATGGGACTGTAACAAAACGCGGATGTTGGCTAGCAAAAGTCTCAATGAAATAGCCATAATTATACTTGTCATAGTATATAAATAACAACACTGTAATTCATAGATGCTTGAAAGTAACAGAAGAAACACAGCATGATGACCTTGGTGCTTAACTTGGAAGCATAACTGATACTAACAAATCAGGTAACAACCTACTTACATTAATGGCTTTAGCTCTAACTTCTCTTTTTTGTCTTCATCATGAGCTAAAGAACAGATTGAGGGCTCACAATGTAGACATACAGATGCTTAGATTAATGGATAACAAATGAAATAATAAAAGAGTAATAGTAACAACTCATCATTAGGAAGGCTGTTGCAGACAGCTGTCATGTAGAAGACAGATACAAGGTGAGAAGGTATAAGGGCAAGCTAGAGAAGTTTGCAGTAAAACCTTTTACTAAATTCTAAATTATTGCAGGAACTTTGTACCCCATGATTGCAACAAGGGAGTAAGAACAAACTCCTACTTCATAGATTCCCTCAGCGTAGGGTATTTGCATACAGAGAAAAAAAGAGCACATTCTCAATCACCATAGTTTGAAAAACATTGCTCAAAGAATTACGTATCGTGTATTATCGAAGAAAAGTGTTCAAACTTGAGAAGTCTTCCCAAGTTAATTTTTAAGCTTGTAAACTTTGGAATCTGGTACTTGTAAAATATGAAAACAAAAATCTGAGCCTGTATTCCATTTATCCTACTTTAAGAAGGTAAATTGTACATAAATCAACTAAGATCATAAACAGTGTAAATGGACTAAAAATATTACCAAAGCCAACAAAAACCACAACATGATGAAATAACTTAGTTGCAAGAAGCGCTCAGTTCTTCTAAATAGTTTAATTTTATCTCATCCACTTCATCTGAGGAAGGTACTAAATGCTGTGAACCTTATTTAGATGTATATTTAATCTGAACTAGTGTTAAAATTAATGACAAAGTCAGGTTTAATTCCAGCTCCTGCCTCTTGTTAATTTTAATAACTCTGGAAATTACTTGTTTTTATTTCAATCAAAGAAATACTCTTCCTGCTTTTGCTCTTAAACTTCCAAAGAGAATTAGAAAATGGGCTGTACCTAGAGATCTATAAACTAGTCCAGCGAATGCTGTCATAGAGATAAAACAAAAAAGAATTCAGTATTTTTTCAATTACTCTTTGGTGCTACCTCTACCAATAGAATGTACAAAATGCTTTATAAAAGTAGGATTTAATCTGACAGCCAGCCATATTCACATGTACATGTTTAGAAACATTTTGAAGGAAGGCAGAAGTAAAAAATCCCAACCACAAAAGACCAATTACCTTATGTAGTAAGACAATTTAAAAGATACCATAAATTAGAAATTCAGATCTTTTTTAACCTGCTTTCTCTTCGAAAATTATGAGTGGAAATCTGCTATAATTATCATAAACATCAGCAATTGGGAGCCAATAAGAAATGATCCAAAAAAGGCTTAAAAATCTTATTTTCTTTAATTACCAATATAACAAAGACTCGTAAAAATTCTGAATTTATTTTCAAATTAAGGAACTGACAGAACAATGCATCAGGATTACAGAGTTTGTTGTCAGACCTTAATAAACTTGGGGGTTTATTCTCCTGTTTTTAAAGCTATTTAAATCCTCCCAGAAAAAAATCTGCAAAATCAGCAAGAAACTCAAAAGCTGCTGACAGCTCTGTGGTAGAAAATGAGCAGAAGGCACTCTGTCAAAAAATATAAAGGGTATTTGTTCCATGTTATCTTTAAAATATTTTAAAAGGGAATTTCAGCATAGTGCTGCAGAACTAAACATTATCTCAAATTAGAAACAACAGATTGAAATTAAGCTAGGGAAATTTGGCTAAGGAAATAAATTCAAATTTGTTCTGTTGTCAACAAAGGAATAGGGTTGAGAAGTAGAGGTGACAGGGACTAAAGAAAGTAAAACTCTCACAGAAGTTGTCTAGATAAAGGCAGAAAAGACCAAAGACAACTGAGCTGCAGGTGGTAACTTGAACAGGAGTTACAGGAGCAAAGACATAAATAAGCATTTTAACAAGTATGATGAGAATTGTGATGCACGATTTGTGTCCTGCTTGAACTTAAGTGGAAGGAAGCAACCCAGGAGCCAAAGGTGTTATCACAAGTCCTGGCACCATCATCATTCCTATACCAATGACTAAAAGGTAATAGAGGCTCAAGTGAAAAACAAGCTGCACATGAAGTAGCTGAAAAACAGCAGGAAGAGTTTCCTGAAAGAGGTAGTGGCATCTTACTGAGACACAGACATGAAATTTATTTCTATGCCTAGAAATAAATCTAGGCATCTGTATCACAGAGGTAACAGCTCTGGCCATAGAACCGATGGCATTCACATTAGAAAGATGCTGTGATAAGAATCTAAAATAGAATCATGTAAATTCAGAGAAACACTGCAGCTTCCCAAAACAAATAATAGTCAGAAAATATATCTAGGAAGAAACTGAAGTCTGAGAACTTCTGTACAAAACACAATGGTTGTCAAATTGCAGACAATCTAGGTCAGCATACATTATTATATATTCTATTATTGTCATATTATATTTAAGACAAACATAATCTTAAAACCTGTGATATTTCTGGTCCTTTTAAAAAACAAGCAGACCAAACCTCCTTCAGAATCTCGAGAAGTGTGTAAAAAGAACTGCAAATCATACTCTTAAGTTTGCATCAAAATAGCTACGATAGCCTTTTATGGGCCCAATATGGTAATTAAAATTTTTCTGAACTCTAAACCATCCAAAGCCATAATACAACAGAATTTGCATGTTCAAATAGTAAAGTAGTTAAAACAGCACTTGCACACACATGATACATTTTCAATTACAGCTTTATTTTTCTAAGTTTTCAAACAGGTAAACAATCCTTGGACTACATGCAAATCAAGACCTGAAAGTCAACAAAATATATAAATTAACCAATTATTTAACTACTTAGCTTTCACAGTTCCCACTTCCCTATCATGTTTTGTCTTCATCACTCCCCAACACCATCCATTACCTTAACACACAGGCAGAATTTTGCTTGCTGTTCTAAACAAAAGAATCACTTCTTGGTTGAGAAAAAGCATTAAAAATCAAACTAAAAAATCATTCTCCT